TGGGCCTCAAAAAAGTTCATTAAACAGACAGTTTTATTAAATAGAAGTACGTTATTTGGAAATTTCACGGAACATTGTACAATTTAAATATACAATATCATATCATATAATAATAGTGTATGACAAATAATTTTAGATTTGGACATTTAATATTTGAATTTTTTTWTCTTTTTCAGTCAATAAATATTTCACCAATCTTATTGCATTTAAATGAATGCCTAGAAACGAGCAAAACATTTTACGAGGAACAGTGCCAGTAAATTGACTATTTGTAACTTACAAGGAAATTCAAAATATTTCTCTCTAAGTCTGTAGAGTTTATTTCACTAATATCAGTCAATTAAGAATACAATTTACTAGCTATTAAGATATTATTTAAAATATAAATGTTCATTATGATTCATTTGTAAATATTTAATGTTCRTRATGTTCATTATTAAATTCATCGACATAATATGTTATGAATTATAATACTTATAATAAACAATTATATTATAATGTGTATTCATTTTAACTATATAGTACCAGTATAAGAAATATTTCTTATTTTTTTTTTTTAACTATATATTATTATTATTTCTATACACTACAGTATAGGTAGTAGGTACTCGTTCACTTTTGTAATTATTTCATGTGAAAAATTGAAAAAAGAAATGACTTGATTGTTTTGAATGAAATTTTGAAAGTATTTTCATGAGATAAATATACTTATATATTTCTATACATGCACAATTTTTCATAATATTTTCTTTAAAAAATATTGTTGTTAAATCATTTTTGTTTTAAATATAACAATGGTAATTGTAACATAACATTAATTTGTAAATAAACGATAATTGTATAATGCTACTATGTTAGATTATACGGAAAGTAGTGAATTAAACAATGTAAATTTGGGCTATTTCACATATTCACATTATTATAAYCCAAATATTAATTATAAATAGGGCAGAAGAGTTGAAGCATATGCATATTTGTTTTACACAAAAATAGCAGAGTACGATACAGATACATTTCATGCTATCACAAAGCTAGTTTTGAAATTTTATTGTGCATATAAATACATATTTTGCGTTTTTTTGGTTTTCAAGTCATATTTTACACTTTTATATGCTATTTTATATATTTTTAAGACTTATTTCTGTACYTAGATMGATTTTTCCATTGAGACATTTTTATTTCAAACAATACAGTCAAAATTTTTGGATAAAAATGTATTTATTTTTCATTTTTGTCGTATGATATGATTTTTGACCTCCATGGGCACATATTTTTCGTAGAAGCGATAAAGATCTAACGTCGCACACTTTACCTACGACATCACCACCACAGCTTTGTGCGCAACACTTGGGCTTTTATTCGATTAGGATTTATTTATAAAACGTTTCTAGACATGACAATAATCAATATTTTAGTATTTAGTCTACGTCAGTTCTGCGAAATGTACATTT